CGCGGCCGGGCTGTAGCTGTGCGAATGGCACTGGCCGGGGGCTCGGCAGAAGCTGCCCCCGGTCCAGCCCTCGGGACGCTCAGCTACCGGTGCCTCGGGAGGCTTTGGCGTTTCGAGGCCCGGCATCACCCAGCGCCCCCGTTTCCAGGTTGCGGAGCAGCTGCTGTATGAGCACTGGAGGAAAAACAACGCCGAGCTCCGGGAGGTGATGTGGCTTTCCTTTTAGTCCCCGCTGCCTTGCATTCGTTAAAACCGGTTTTTAACTCGAAAGTTGTCGTGTATCTGCTGTTGCCATTCGTCGTGAATCACAGGGGTTGTCCTCAGTTCTGATAAGCAAAAGGCAAAGGAGAAAATCGAACTGTGTAAGAAGCCCCCTCGAAGCTGGTGTTTTACAAGGACGGCCAGAAATCTGTTCTGACTCAGAGCAGATTTTCAGTGCCCGTGATGTAAATATCTCGGGTGCTTTTTTCAAGCTGTACCTGCCGTGTCCTTGGTGCTTCCTTATTCTTTATTCCCCCGACCCCCTGCTCTGGCCGCCACAGCCCCGGTTTCGGTGTCGCTGTGGCGTTTCCCAAAACTGCTGCGTGACGCTGACCCTCAGCTCGTGACCTGGTGGGCACCGAGGCCACCCAAACGAGCCCAGCTCTGAAGAGGCAGATCCTGCTGGGGCTTCGGGGCTGCAGCTGGGCCTGGAGGAGCTCTAGAGCTCTGTGGGGATCCTGGGGGACGGGAGAGCCACTGGCACTAATGGCGATGCCACATCTGTTGTCCACAGGTGGAGTCGGAGCTGCACAGAAAGCACGTGGTAGAGGCTTGGGGTGATCAGCTCATGCAGAAAACCAAGGTACGTGGAGGGTAGCCCTGGTGGTACTGGTCAGTAGGGCAGAGTCCCGAAACGCCCGAGCGGTGGAGGGGTGACACTGTGTGCCTTGCGACCCGGCTTGCCTTCCTGTGCGGACAGGGCTCAGGTGTGGAAGGAGCAGAGTTGGCTCTTTGTTTTCTTGCACCGGTCTTGAATCCTGCAAGGATCCGTCCATAGCGCTGGGGAGTTCTGGTGTCCGCAGAAGGGCAGAAGCTGCCAGCGGGAAGGATGCTTTTAACCAAGAGCCATCATTCCTGTCTGACGAGTACACGCTGTCCGTCTCCTAGAAAATCCAGAGCTGTCTGCTGGACGGATCCTTGCAGGATTCCATGCGGCGCTGAGTGCTCGCCTACCAGCGAACTGCAGCGCAGAGCCAGTACAAAGCTGCGAGAGCTCAGTCTCTGCATACAGACTGGATACGGGAAGACAGCGGGTTTGATGGGAGAGAATAATGAAGGCCTTCAAATTCAGATTTCAGAGTTAATCAAAACAATAATCTGTGTTTGTAAGAGGAAAAACTGAGGGTGTTTTTAAGCCCGCCCGTGCGTAGCATCAGAGCTGCGCAGGGCCCTGCGGGGGACGTGTGTAACCGATAGCCAGTTTCGGGCAGTCATCAGCAGATAGGTTTGCTTTGTCCTCCTGTTCCTTCTCAGCGTATTTTGTTCCATGTTTCCCCCATACGTGTCAGCTTGCAAGAATGTGATTTGTGGATATCCTGAGCCAGAGGCTGTTTCTTTGTGTTAGCCTAAATCTAAATGCCATGCTTCCTTTTGGCTCGGAAAGCGAGAAGCAGCGGAACTTGAAGAGAAAAAACGTTGTGAAAATGAATATGAAACTGCACGAAGGGAAGCGCTGGAAAGAATGCGACAAGAGGAAGAGAGGCGTCGGCTGGAAGAGAAGAAGCAAGCGGAGACGTTGCTGCGACAAATAGAAGAGCTGAAATTACAGGAGACAAAGGTAATCTTTAGTTTCTCCTAGTTTGAGAAGGAAATCCATTGTTTCACCTGGAAATAGAGCAACGCTGACCTGGCCTCTTCCCGCCAGGTTCCCACTAGATTAAATCTGGAGCAAGGTTAGTTGTGATGCAGTTTCTGTTGGTAACGTAGGCCTCTCCCGTGGACGCTGGCATATTAACTGCACTCCGGGAGCTTTTGTTTGCTCCTCTGGTAACGGGAGCACCCTTTTGTGCTGCACCAGATGAGGAAAAAGATTTGTAGAAACTTCTGAGTGTGAGAGGTTCAGCTCAAGGGCTTTTTCAGCCGGGGCCTCTCATGGTATCTCTTCAGCTGTGAGCCACTGAGCCACGAATTAAATGGATGTGGAATATTTGCTGCGGTGAGGATTTTGCCTGCTTGTAGAGGAGCAGAACGGGGTACAGACTCTGGCGCAAACTCCCCTCTGGGATGTCCTAGCTCGCTGACGTACTCTTTCTTGGTGGTTGTTTTTTCCTTTCAGGCAACAAAGCTGAAAAAAGAACAAGAGAATTTACTGAAGCAGCAGTGGGAGCTGGAGAACTTGGAAGAAGAAAGGAAACAAATGGAAGAGCACCGGAAGAAGAAAGAGCTTGGGTACGAGATCGAGCGTAGCTTGTTTCAGCAGGGCTTGGATAGAATCCGTTCCTACGGATCAGTCCTACGCAACAGTCCTTGCGGCACAAGGGGGGTATTTCAGATAGCAGCGGGGGGTTGTAAATATTTGGTTTCTGATGGAAGCACCCAGAACAGCCCATGAGCCAACGCATCGGTGCCGTTACTGCTTTTTGCTCACGGTAGCAGTAGCGGATACCTCTGTTGCCTCTAAGTGACGTTGCCATAGAGGTACCTTGGTGAGCACCGGCGTGTACCACGGGGTTTTAGTCAGGGTGGATGTTTTCTTTTTTTCCTCCTTCAGTCGCTTTTTGAGGCATCAGTGCAACGCCCAGCTAACAAGACGAGCCCAGCAGGTACAAGAGGAGCTGGTAAGAGAAAGGACCCCTCGATTTATACGTTATAGATACCGCGTGCTGAAGAAACTTGTTCTTTGCGTTTTGTTTATGTGTCTGCCTCCGATGCCTACAGACAATTAATCTGGAAGCCCCTTCCAGCTTGTGAACAGGGCTGGAGCAAAAAGATCATGGGCTGCGTGTCTTCCTGAGCGCACCCTCGACGCCGCGTCACCAATAATTTGCAGAGAGTAGCCCTGCCTGCAGGCTGGAAATCTGTTGGGTAGTTGTTAATCTTGTGGTTTTTATCAAGGAGGCAGACAAGCAAATCTTACTAGCCCTCCTCGAGAAAGAAGATGAGGATCAGCGCCGCCAGTCCGCGCAACGAGAACGAGCCGTTGCAGATGTTGCCTGGATGAAACGTGTCATCGAGGAACAGCTCCAGTTAGAAAGGGAGAGGGAGGCAGAGCTGCAGACTCTTTTTAGGTGAGTCTGCCCCCCTCTGAACATCATCTACAGAGACCGCGTGTGCTGAATGTTCCTGCCGGGTCGGAATTCGTGTTTGTTAAGTAGGCTTTGAAAGTGGGCGTTAGAAAGCGGTGGCTGGGTGGCCTTGCAGTTCGAGAAGCGCTGCAGGGGAAGTGAGCGCTGCCCCTTCCTTCCCCGTGCCAGCGCCCTGCTGGGCCGTCAGCGTGCCAGTGCAGACAGACCCGGAGCTTTTCTGCCGGGACAGAATCAAAGCCTGCCGTTGTGTTTCAGTTACGTTGGCCCATAATTTCCATAATTTCTGTTACGTTTGCTCTAATGCAAGAGCTTTAATAACAAAAGAAAGGCAGTAACGCAGAGACAGAGCGTTTAGTTGTGCTTTGTAACCACTCATCAGTCAGTCTGCGTTACCGATGGGGGGGGGGGCTTAGTCTAAGTGACTCCAAAACCTGCACGTTGTTTCCTTCCGTATCTGAGCTTGTAGGTGAAAGCTGCCTCAGGTTCAGCTTACGCTCTCCCCAGCACAGAGAGGTTCTTCACTGGGGCCGGGACGGTGCGTGCTACCAGCAAGTTTAAGTTAAAGGTTTTGTTGCGGAGGGAAGATTTGCAAAATCTTCAGCTTTTCCAGAGAGATTTGCAAAATCTTCAGCTTTTCCAGAGAGATTTGCAAAATCTTCAGCTTTTCCAGCAACGCCCTTAACTACCCACCCCCCACGTGGAGCAGTATCCTTGCTAAGAGGGAGGCTTCCTCCCGAGGCCTTTCTGTGCCCGGGGTGGATCGGCGCATCCGTGAAGTCCCGCTGCGAGCCAGCGTTGCCTTCGGTGCGTTACCTCCTGCTGCTCTGTCACGGGGAGAGCAGGGCGGTTCTCTGCGGCAGGCGCTGCTGGGGCGGACACCCTATTGCCTGGGAACGCATGTGAAGGAGAAACCCGAGTGCTGCTCTAAAGCACAGGGTAGCTCGTCTGTGCCCATGGAGTATAGAGAGGTTTGGTTTGGGGTTTTTTTTAACTGTGAGTAGTAACCTTAGAGATAATTCTTCCTCTCTCCTTTAGAGAAGAAGCTAAAAAAGTGTGGGAGAAGAGGGAAGAAGAATGGGAAAGAGAGAAGGCGGCCAGAGATCGCCTGATGAATGAGGTGATGACCTTTTTTGATGGGGTGTCTCTCTTGGCTCAACGCAGCCATCGTTCCAGCTGTGACCCTCCACCCTCCAGAGCGTTACAGCCTTCAGTACCCCGGGCAGAATTTTTCTGCTTGTCCGATAACGTTTGCTGAGAACTGTTTAACCGCCTGCACTGACATTTCCCCAGTCCTGCTTCCCAGGCTGGCCCCCTTTCTTGGCTTATCTTCTCCCTTAATCCTCTCGCTTCCCAAAGGTCCTTGCAGGCCGGCAGCGCCAGATCCGAGAGAAGATGGAGTTAAACAGACGAGCCCAAGAAGAGTCTATAAAGTATCGAGAGCAGCTGATTAAAGAACTCGAAGAGGCAAAAGAACTGACGAGGCGCGAGAAGGAGCAGGAGGAGGAGCTGAAGACAGCCCGCAGGCAGGAGCTGGAGGCGCAGGTACAGCACGCGTCCCAGGTACGCACCCAGCCCGCTCCGCGTCTGATCGCGCCGTAACAGCCCCGTCTCCTCTGTGCCCAGCTGACAGAGCGCCGCGTCCAAGAACGGGAGGAGCAGCAGCGCCAGAGGGAGGAGGAAGAAGAGGCGAGGTCAGCCCGGCAGCGCTGCGAGGAGCTGGTGCGGCAGGAGGCCAAGCGCGTGGCTGAGCGAGGCTATCGCAGCGGGGTAGGTAGCAGCCATCCGGGGAAGCCTGGACATACCGGGTCCCCTGATGCTGAGCCTGAAGGGGAGGGTGACGGTGTCGGTGTCAGCGAGCAGAATTGTTGTTGCTCCTAATCTGCACCTTTGTGGCCACGCGGCGCCAGGGCAGGACACCAGGCCCGTCCTCCCCTGGTGCTGTTTCTAGCAGAGGGCTATAGCGCTCTCTTACAAATTGCTTTTCTTTTGCTGATACTGATGCTTTAGGTCCCAATTTTTAAACAGTTTTTGAGGCAGCCTTGTTGCTACTGCCCGAGATGCTATTCCAATTACTTTTGGCACTTTCAGCTGCGTTAACACAGTTGGTACAGCGCATCTCAGCTGCTCGGTGTCTCGCCATCTATAGAGCTTTGCCCAGCTCTAAAAACTAAGCTGAATTTGTGTAACCCTACCTAAACCTCACACCCAGCAGATCGTATTTTTAACTATGAGCTACTCTGCAGAGTAACTCACCTCTGTGGTTGATGAGCCAGCAGCTACTGAAGTCAGAGGAAGCTGGAAGGAGGCGTTACTGCCCGGCAGCATCAACTGTTAAACGTTACTGATGCTTTTTCTCGGAGGATGTCCTGTAGTCCCCGAGGTACCTTTGCGTGCGGAAGGTTCATTCTGGAGCCATGCTTTCTGTTTTGACCCCGTTAGCTCTACGGTTACCCCAAAGCAGCGTGGACCTGAGGAAGGAGCTCGAAATGCAGTTGCAGACCACAGGAAGAACATGTTGAAGAATCGAGGAACTCCTGAAATACCGGTGGCTTTGGAGCAGCCTGCAGTGAGACTCAACTCCGTAGATTTCTGAAAACACTCAGCTGAGCACAAAAGCACTGGCTTTGGGGTGGCGGCGGTGTGCGTGTCCTCCGAGGACTGACTGGTGTCGCTGACTCCGCGTGCGGGACGGCTGGTGATGTATTTCAGCCCGTGCTGCGGGAATGTGGCAAATAACCGGGCCCTTTGGGTCTAACAGCGGACAAATCCCTGCCCGTCGTAGCCACAGGACGCACCTAGAGGCCCAGATGGATTTTGGGAGTTGCCTTGGGTACGATAGATAACGTGTGCTGTGGCAGTGGTTCCCAACGTGCCCGGTGCCTCTCCAGAAGGTGCTGAAGACTTCATTTTTTTAACTTATTTCATAAATAATGAATAATTGCAGCCTGAACCAACTGTTTGTTTCTTTACGTGAGCAAACTGCTGCAAGAGGAGTTGAGTTTGAGGCGGTTATCGCGCCCGATCCCTTGCTCTCACCGTAGACAGCCCCAGTTTAAAGTCGGTCCAGGCGCTCCCGCTGGCGCGGTGAGAGCCGCTCAGCACCACAGGCTCCTCTGCCATCAGAACCTTTTCAGGAGCTTCTCTTTACAGACCCAGCAGTCAAATAACCCCAAATGATTTTGCACACTGAAGGAGTTTTAGCATTTTATAGTAATTCAGTAAACAAAACGATTAAGTCAAAATATTGTACAGACAGAATGACACTGATAAATACAAGTTTTGGAAAAAGGCAAACCAATTTTTACTTTCCTATGCAGCATTTTGTAAAGAAGAGAAGAGATCTCGTCAGAAAAGAAAACAAACCCACAACCCAGCGTTGTTATTTCAGGTGTCACAAACCCCCTGCCCCGCAGCGCCTACGATTCGCGGGCTAACCGAGGGAGGGCTCTCCAGTTCCACGCCGCCCGGTTGTGGGCAGAGCTGACCTAGCGCTGCTGCTTTTTACTGAGCACCTCGGAACGTGCCCTGTCCTGCGTGACAGTCACCCTGGTTCTGGGGTGGCGACGCAGCGCGACCGTACCCAACCCAGAACAACCGTTTGTTGGGAGAAACCAGGCGACCAGAAACGCCGGTTCAGGCGACAGAAGGGGAAATGGGTGCCGGGTCGGCTGCGTTTTTATAGCTTGGCCTTCCAACGAGCAAAATGATTGATTTTTGGGAAAATCTGGAGCTAGCGTAGCTGGAACAAGGGCTTGCAGTTACCAAAGCATCCGTTTTGGTACAGAGGCAAGTTTAAACAACTGATAGCTTACACCATAACTCGGTTACCCTGCTTTGGAAGCTGGGTAAGATATGTTAAAGAAAAGCACACAAGGATGTCCTGAGAGATTTAAAAATACCATCCACTGCCTTTTGATGATGCCAATTTAAGGAAAAGTTCCTAGAGGATTATCAAGGTATTTAATTGCCAGTAGCATAATTTTGAAGTAGGTTTGACAAATGTCTTTTGGCAGGTCTAATCCCAGCCTGTCCCCACTCCTGTGAGCTGAGAGACAGCTCTGCAATTCCAAATGCAGGAAGGAAATAAAAACCCCTGCAGTGCAGAGCATTTATTGTTCTCCTGGTCGTCACCTACTCTCTCCCTTCCTTCCCTCCCTCCAACCTGTGCCACTCTGAGAAGGGAGCCAACGACAGCATCCATGGGCGTTACGGCGCTCGGTGTTTATATACAGATGCAGACACAGCGTGGTTCGAAAAGGAACCGACCCCTGACCTTCAGCTCGGGTGTTCACCTCGCTATGGCAGTTTTTCACCAGGACGCCCTGAAGAGGTGGGGGCTTTGGCAGGCGGCATCAGCCGCTTCCGACGCGGATGTTTCTGTGAGGAGGGTCTAAACGTTCCCATCCACAGCTGCCCCGCGACAGCCGCTGCTGTTCTGTAACTTTGCTCTTAACTAAAAGACAACATTAAGTGGCTGCCAGCTGAACTGCCGCGGCCAGCTCCCGGGAAGTGACAACACGCTTCCAAACGGGACACCAGCACAGGCAAACAGTAGTGATTCCCCCGTCCCCTGCTCCCGCCCTGGAATTTAGATTCCCCAAGAACTCTCGCTTTGGAAAGCATGGACTGACACGGTTTTGTGAACTGTTATGAATGAAAAAAAACCCTGAAACACCCACTGACATTTGCCACCCACCTTCCCTTCTGACCGGCAGCCTGGCCTGGGTTACGCCACATGTAGGCTGTAACATTCCGAAGGATTCGCAGAAAACTTACTAGATATGAGAAATCTTTTCACATTTGGATATGTTGAGGTACAGAGGTTATGTGCTATGGCAGCTGCAGCCGCTTTGGCACTGGCACGCATTCTGACTTCCTTTTCTGCTTTTGAATTATCACAGGAAGCTTTAGTGAAATTGCATCTTGAGTTACTGAGCAACGCTGCTGCCAACAAGACGGTGCCTTGAAGGTGACAGTAAAATTCTGTAGGAAACTTAAGAACAAAGTATTAAACCAGAAACAAAGGATAATATTTTAACCACTAATGCCCTAAAATAATATCAAACATATATTAATGGCATAGTGACAACTAAAGGAAATGACTATTAACGTTTCAAATTCCTTCCAAAACAGATAAAGTGACAAAGACCTTGTATAGTTACACGTAATAAGCTCGGATGCCCACAACTACTATTGTTTTAGCTGACTAAAACCATTATTGCACAACAGTTGATATGGGAACAGATAATACTCGGCTCGCGCCCCGTCACCAGGAGTGCGACCCTCTTCCTGCTGGGTAGCAGTTACGGTCCCGGAGCCTTTGGAGCCCGTTTCGCTGCAGGGTTCTCAGCCCAGCAGCATCAGGGCACGCGAGGCTCCAGGACGGAGAGCGCAGAGGTGCGGTTCTGCCCTCGGATCCGCGCAGCTGACTTCGGCGGGAGTTTTGCAAGCAATATCTGAAAGCAGAACGTGGCCCCGAGGAAACATCTAGCAAGAGCTCAGTACAACGCTGGTACGTGATAATGGCTCAACAGCTATTTGCAACATGCTATTAATCTGTAACTAAACTGGCAACACAGGCACAAAATAAGGCAGTGGGTTAAATTAATCATAAAATTGTTAGAAAACATGCAAAAATAATACTGAGTTTTTAAAAAAAAAAAAAAAAAGTTCCTTGCCCCTTTAGTTTTTCTCATAAAAATCTGAATAGTTCCACACCTATATTTGAAATCCAACCTCTAAAAAACAAGACTAAAAAGCCGGGTGTGACTCAGTTGTTGTTCTCTTTGGTTGTGATGGTAACCAGCTGTTTGGCAGCCTTGGCGATGTCGTAGGCGCACTGGATAACTTGCTGCGTGACCAGCTGGATGTCTGTCGTCGGGCATGTCTCCACGGGAAGGGTTTTTTTGCACTCGGATTGGAGTCTGTAGGCACTAGATGTCAGCAGACGCAAAGAAGTCCTTACCAGTTCAGATTTGGGTTTCTGGGAAAGGAAAGGAGAAGTTGAACTTGAACAGAACAACAAAACCGTTTGGGGGTCGCCGGTAGCAGTTCACACGTGTTCTTTAACACCAAACTGCTGCTGCCAGGGCCCTGCCTTCTGCACGGAACTTCTCTGTGCTGTAGGAGACGTTTTAAGACATCGCTGCAGAGATGCGGGGTAGGGGTGGATGAAACAAGTTCCTGTAATTTCTCCTCGGGCATCTCAGGGACGTTTCAAAGTGCTGCCAGGCAGCAGGCGGGGAATGCTGCCTGATGCTCTCAAGTTAGGAAATCACTCACACGGGTTTTCTAGTGCCCGTTTAATGGTACCCAGCCCGTGGCTGGCTGACATCTGGGCACAGCGGGCACAAGACAAATCTCTTCAGCTACGCATGACAGCGTTAGATTTTCTTTGCAGTTTTATAGAGTTAGACAAGACTTTACAAAAACTTAAATCCCAGAGATTTCCCTCCCTAAAATGTGCTGTGAAGAAACAAATCGCTTTGGCAGACAGAGAACGGATCTAACCATACCTGCCAGTAAGAAATCCAGGCAATGGCACTCAATGGGAACCCGGAGGGGATGAGTCTAGCAAAATTCCCATATAACCACAGGACTCTTCATGCTAGAGGCAAGTAGCCCCCAGTTTCGGAGGAACTGCATGCAATTCTTAAGAGCTTTAAGTTCAAGAGTCAAGTTAAATTCACACATTAGCCCTTCCTGACTGGCACACCAGTAAATACAAAGTGCAAGATTTGACAAGACCACTTAGTCACTTCTCCCCGCCTTCAGCTTTTGGTTTTCATTTACTGAAGGGAAATCTACTAACGAGGAATGAGACCAAGAACATTTTAATGCTGAAAGGTACTTACTTTGGGGAACAAGGCTGCCATTTCCGTTACTGCCACATGTATTCTCTCGGAGCATGGTATATAGCTGCAAAAAGATGCAATGCATTATTCCTTATGTAAAGCCCTCCCTTTCCTCTTCAATTTCCCTAGTCAGTGGCTGCTGTTACTCAGTTGGTTTTAGGATAAAACCCCCCCATATATTCTAAAGATAACCTTTGCAGGCTGCGCTGAAGGCAACTGAAGTAGGTGGTGCAACACACGCTATGGTGAGTCCTCGCGTCCCCGCAGCATTCCCCAGCACGCTGCAGCGCGAGCTTGTAGGTGACCACGCGACTTCAGAGAAAGCAAGAACTTCACCAACAGTACAAAACTATTTCTTAAGTTTTCGTTCTTCTTCGATCAAAGTTTGTTTGAGGGAATAACTGCCCACACCTTTTGCACCAAACATCAGAAATGCATCTGGGAATATCAATTGCGCAGTAATCGATACACTAGCGTTTCCTAATCTCCCCTCAAATGTTAGAATTTGGCTCCAAATTGTACAGAGAATTGCTCAACCTGTTCTGTTTGGTGCCTGCACAATCGACACGTTGTTGTTACTTGTGGGAGAGCACGCCCGGCAACCTGGCTCATGCAAGTCGGGTACAAAGTAAAGATTCTGCAGCTTGGAAATATTTAAACAAAATCCGGTGATACAGAGGTGCTTTGGGAAAACCCCCAACCTTTTCTCCTCAGTACAGTGTTGACAATCAAAAGCAGATTAAAACCCACTTTGTATGTGGGATCTGAGTAAGTCAAGCTTAGTGCCATTTTAGGGAAATCTCTATCCACTTGTTTCGAAAGAGCTCTTTGCACCTAAGCCAAGAGGCTGTGAAACCAGACTACTGAAAGGAAAGTTTTTAAACTGCTAAGGATCTAAGCAGCCAAAAATATCACGTAATCTCTGAAGAAAAGTTAAAAAAAACCCCCCAAACCACAGAGGTGTTTGAATTGATTTTATGTTTCAGAGTTGAATTTTGGCCATCCAGACTCTTAAAAATAATTTAACAGCCAAGCGTTGGTATTTATGGGACTGTCTTGTCTGCACCTCTGAAGCAATGCAAGTTTCCTGCACTTCTTTTCCACGTGTAAGTTACAAAGCAGAAGCCTTTAAAGAACCACTTTGTACCTGTTACCAAAATACAGCAAACTCAAAAAAGTGTATTCAAAGCACTTGGCAGCAAGACCTGAAGTCTGAGCTCCGTAAGCTTTCAACCCATCGGCTCTCAGCTAAACTCTGAGCGATCTCTCCGACAAACACGTGCCTCCCCGGGTCAGCAGCCGGGCTGGAAGCTGTGGTTCATTGCAGCGATGCACGCTGAGGACACAGCTTGATTCCAAGATTTATTTCCATCCCTGGATCCGTTCATTATCAGTGGAAGCCCGGAATGCAGCACCATGCACCTATTTCCCTGTTGTCATTCCACAGGGGTATGCCCAACTTCCTGTACAGAATTCTCACCTTGCTCTTTTGGTAAAGTTTATCGGAAGGTAAAACGTCGCACGAAGGGAACTTGGGAACACCAAGATGCCTTCTTGGATGAATTTATACACAGTAAACAGACAACACACAGCTCTCATACAGCAGTTTACAGATACATGCATCTCCAAGCTACCAGCTACTGTGAGAGTTTTAGGCTCAATATGCAGTAATTCTGTATAGTTAGCTAATCAAACAAAGGCAGATTCCATTAGTCCTCATAGATTTCACTTCTGATTTATGTACCCTGTGAAAAGGGGTCTGCTCAAAACAGATCTTAAAACTATTTACCACAAGCTCCTGTGAAGCGCTGTGTTAGTGTGGTCGGTCAAAAGTCTAATTTAGACTTGGTTTTATGCCTCAAAAACTCAATTTCAGCTAAGTTAACGTGATCCAGTCTCAAGCGAGAGACTCTCAACATCACAAAGCAACAGCATTCCAGTAGAACATTCAGCATCTGTAGGTTATGGGAGATCATTGCCCTTTCAAGCAAAAAAAGTCAGCAGAACCCCAAGCCCCCCAGTCATGACGTATGCAGTCATCTTGCAACACCAAAGGTGCAAAAATAGGTCACTGGCAAATGCACTGAGAAAGAAGCAACACACTGGGGTCATTCTGGCGATGCAGGAAAATTGCTTTAAAAAGGAGTATTTCTGTATGCCTCAAATCACGTGAGTTCCTCCAAATAATCTAAAAGTGGAGAAAAGTTTTCCAGGTTCACTGTAATTCCCATTCTGCTATTGAGTTAACAATTCATTTGCTCCCTGCAAGCCACACCGAGCAGCACCTCACCTCATTAAAAGCCCGTTTGCTGATTAAACCCTCCACTAAGGAGAGAAAGCCGTAAGAATTACTTGAATGAAAGAGATCAAGATTAACGACACGTATTTCATAATATGTCCTGTAGGTGAGCTGCAAAGTTTACAGTGTGTATTAGCATCATAGAATCACTGGGTTGGAAAAGACCTTTAAGATCATTGAGCCCAACCGTACCTGTCCACCCCCAAACCCTGTCCCTCAGCACCGCCTCTGCCCGGCTGTTAAATCCCCCCAGGGGTGGGGACTCGACCCCTTCCCTGGGCAGCCCCTTCCAGCCCCTGACAGCCCCAAGGGGAAGGAATTGTTCCCCATGGCCAACCTCACCCTGCCCTGGCACAACTTGAGGCCGGTGCCCCTCGTCCCATCGCCCCTTCCCTGGGAGCAGAGCCCGACCCCCCCGGCTCCCCCCTCCTCTCAGGCAGTTGTAGGGAGCGATGAGGGCTCCCCTCAGCCTCCTCTTCTCCAGGCTGAACACCCCCAGGGCCCCCAGTTCTTAGGGGAATGGCTTTATTTTATAGTCTAAACACTCACTGTAAGCTCATGAAATAAGCTGACACATTTGTTGAATTTACACACATTCCAGTAAGACAGCAGGAAGATATTCCAGTAGTGACAGCTTGGAAAAAAGAATCCATCACGAGCAGTAACTTGTGGTAACCTCTTCCTCCAGCCCCGGTATTTGTCACTGGCACTAACCCTTGGGGTTAGAACTTGGTAAGTTCTGTTTTAAAGAACATCTCGCTTAGAAGTTCATTTTTATTTTAGGCATTAACAAGCAATATTTTGGTCAGGTTGGAAGATACTATATAAACACACATCTTTTGTTCATCGGTTCAAGATACGAGCGGCCTCGCTTGACACGCCAGCTGTATAAACAGTTGAGGGCCTAAGCTGTCAGGTGTGAATGTTGCATGTTGGGAACCGTGAAACTTTTGCTACTTTTGGAACGGTGCATGGGAACAGCAACCACATGTTGTGCTGTTGTCATGATTTACTTTATCTCAACAGACAATAAACAGAACAGAGACAGAAGAATCTTTTACGCTAGAGACGGTCACACTTCCAGGCTGCAGTTCTGTTCCCCATTGAATCAATACTGGAAGCGTTGACTGATGGGGTACCACCGCAGGTTGGTAACTCTGTACCAGCTACCTGCAGCGTCTTTATCATCCAAAGCATTTCATGCATGGCCTTCAACGACCCCTGTGCAGATGGTGCGTGAGGGCAAGAGGCAGCAGAGAGAAAGAGAAAGGACACTGTGCCTGGGAGGCAGGGACAGAGGCCAGAGTACCAGGAGGCAGGACCGGGCTGCTGGATGGTCAGCGGCTGCATGGGAGCTCTCCCAGCCCAGGGAACCCGCGTGCTGAAGCAGCCGAGGCTATGTCTGAGCTTGAGCACGCCCGCACGCTCTAATGGCCTACTCGGCCAGTTGGGCACAGGAAAAGGAGAGGAAGAAAGCGAGAGAAAAAAAAAAAAAAAAAAGGAAGAAGGCATTTCATTAATAGATGACATTCTTGCATCATTTTGTTACTCTCCGATTATCTGTGCAGCGCATAATTTTTATCTTCAACGTTCCCAGCACTAGCTTGGAAGATGTATTATTACATCCCCAAGTACCTCATTCTATTAAGGAAGCGTTCCCCTACTGCAAGAAGGGAATGGTGGAACAAGCCTACTCCACCTCCCGTGTGTCCCAGGCTGTGTATTTCTCAGCCCACTGAGACAAAGCCAGGGAATGGGCAAACAAAGAACAGCAGCTTCATAGTTCGGTGTTTTGCAAGATTATACTCATTTAAGTACTGGCAAACACCCCACTCCATGCACGGTACAGGAGAGAAAACAAAAAAGAACGTAACAGGTTGTTTAAAAATCTAGTCTATTCAATTTAACAGAGAAAGCTAAGTATGCTGTATTGTCTCTTTCAATGATTTTTTAAAAAACAGAATTCAAATACTGTAACCTGTAATACACCCAAACTCATCTAAAGCTTCTCTTACTTGCTTCTCATTATGATTTGTGAGAAACAAGCAACAAGGGATCGCAGTGGAAAAGGTTACGGACAAGGGCAATGAGCTCAGCACAAACACGTTAGAGCTCGCCGTTCAGCGTGAGAAGAAGAGGCCACGCGCCACCCCTTCTAAAAATAGACACGTACGAGAAGGAAAAAAAGCACAGAACAAAAGTGGCCCCATTGTTGTGCACTTCTCTCGGCAAGGCAGGAAGCGAGGGCTTGACACAAGTCGCTAGTCACTTCTCGCAGGCAAAGACGGGCACAGAGCTTGGGGCGGGAGGCAGAACGTAAGACCTGCCAGTCTGCACGCTCAGATTTTCTGGAGACCAAAGCTGTTCCAGACCTAAACCGTGTCCATACCTGGGAAGATGTAACTCCCATTTACAGTCTTCTAGAAGAGCTGTGCAGGAGCATCACCTGATGATCAGTCAAGGCCAGTATCGCTTCTACTCGCTCACAGCTATTCTGAAAATTGATTGTTCAGCTGGGCCAGAAGCTCTCCAAGGGAGCTGAAGCTGCGTGCTACCTGATGTGCAGGTGAACAGTCTCCTGCTCACCCAGCTACATCTGCATCTAAACCCAATAGTTCAAAATAGCTTTTGCTGGTACGTTATCTGTACTAATATTTCAGTAGGAAAGCCAAATTCTCCCTGCCTTTGCAATTTTTTCCTGGAACAAGACTTGGTGTTACTATTACACTTCTGTGGGGTGTCCTTACCTAAGGACACGGAGCTCTGAAAATCCAAGAGAAACTTACAGCAAGTTCTCTGCAACACGTTTGATTTATATCTAAAATGACACTCATTCTGCAGCAGGACTTCACAAGCATTTGCTCCCCAGCGCTCCCCGCCCCTGTGCCAGTCGTGGGCAGGGCAGGCAGCGGGCAGCGCTGCAGCCAGAACCCACTCACAGGGGGCTGTGCTGGTTTTTTGGGCAGGAGCATGCATTCCCACCGCCTGTGCTGGTCACTGCTCCCCGCTCACCCTGTGGGACTAGGTCCAGTACAGCAGAAAATCCCACAGACCTACATGTTTTCTAGGTGTGAAACCAGCATCTCCAGCGCTAACACAGGCGGTGGTGGCTGTACTTCTGCAAACACCTGAAGAATCTTCTTAATTTTCTCACAAACTCCTGAACTTTTCCGATACTCACGCCTTACCTGTCATGCTTGTTCTCTTGTGCCGCTCGCAACAGCTCCTGAATATTCTTAGTGATCTGCTCAGTTTTCCGAATCACATCTTCTGTACTGGGCAAACTGGAGCTGGGGGCTGAGTCGGCGTCTTCAGGGATGGAGCCCTCGCCCTGCCAAATGACGCTCCTCTGCCGGCCCTTCCTGCCTGACCTGCAAAGGAACAGAGCAGAGGTCAGCCCTGCTGGGCTGCTCACACTACTCCCCGTCCTCCCACAGCGCAGAGCTGTGCCACTAGCTCTGCGTCACCCTGCCGTTAGCTCTGCGTCGCGGCACCTACCCCGTCTCCTCCAGCTCCAGAGGGGAGGTGGGGTTGTCATAGTCACTCTCGGAGACACTGCTCTGCTTCTCCAGCTTCGAAGCCTGCAACAAATACAGATTGATTTCGGTGTTGTGCAGAAGAGCCCTGAGCTGTGCCAGCACCACGTCCTGTGTACGCAGGCTCGCTCCTTAGCACAACAGCCCCTGTGCCAGCCGCTACCCTGGAGCCTGGTGTGTCCCCTCGCCCTGTGCCAGGCTCCTGCTGCCAGCTTCTACCCAAGCCCCTGGGCGCTGCCGGCATGGCCCCACCAGACCCAAAGCAAGGGCTCTGCCCCGGCACCCAGCGGGGGCAGGACAGACGGCTACAGCACTGCTTCCTTCCCCTGCGCTGAAATCACCCTGTGGGCGCTGTGGGGAGGCCCACAGAGGAGGAGAGGCCAAACAGAGAGGGCAGGACCACCAGGGAGAAAGAGGCCAGCCCAGGGGCAGGAGGTCCAGAGAAGACTGGAGGCCAGACACAGCACGGGAGGCTGAACAGAGGGGGAAACCAGCCTCGCA